TTCTATTAAGATGCATTTACATGCTTTAATATCTTATTTTAGCCTTGACTTTGTTGCTATCTACATGGATAGAATGTGATTTTTAATAGATTTTATTTTTTATATAATTTTTTAGTATAATTTAATATATTATTTAAATGATTATTTTTTTATTTATGTGAGATTTATAATATTAAATATATTTATTTATTTAATAATACGTAAAAATTATATTAAAAAATAATATAAAAAAATTATCCGTCATGTGAAAAATATGAGATTTGAAAGAGGAACACGTCATCATAAGGAACTTGTAAGAAGATGATGATGTGGGATTCAATTTTTAATATTTTGCTGAGGTGGCATGCTAACTCAATTTCGTCTCACTATTTCGTCTCATGTATCATTATTCTTCTTACCTACATTTTTAGCATGGTTCACACCCTCCTTACTAAGCCAACGGATTATCTAAAATGAATCATTCATCATGACATTTTGACAAAAATTTAGACTCAATCTTTAGACGTATCTAGAAGATATCCTTATTCAGTTGTTCAAGACAAAGATGATGTCCTTATCCCATTTTATTTATTCTCTTTCCATTATCTTCCCTTTTTTAACCAGCAGATGGCAACAGGATGGTCTCATGATTTTGTTGAGTGACATTTTGATACAAGATGAACATTTACATTAGGTGCCTTTCAGTGTCAGCTCTTAATTGGACAAAATGGCAAATATCACTTGCACCAACTTTAGTCCATCTTCTCTGTTATGTGTGTGTGGTAGTAGGTGGGCGTGCACGAAAACATTAGTTTTTTCTGGGATTTTGAAAAATTTATGACCTCAATCACCTATTTACAGTGTGTAATGGTTGCAAATAAAAAATCTCTGAAATGTAAATTTTAAGAATTTGGATTTGCTTGTAACTGCAAATCATACCCGAATAAGTATCCAAGAAGCCTGTTGGTAGTTGGTACTGAGACGTTAAGTTTTGGCTCGTATCATAGTGAAGGCAAATATTGTTGGTAGAACAATGCATGAAATCAAATAATCCAATACTAAAATTTGTTCAGGGATGTAAATACCCATGAAATCTATACCGGTAATTTTTTTTCAACTTTATTTTTATATATATTTGATGATGAGATATATAAAAAGGGGTGAACTCTATACTTAAATCTTTCTACTAGATTTAAAATTTAAATTTAAGATTTTTAAATTAAAATATCAAGATTTTAATAAATTAAGTGATCCATTGGGATCTTTAATTTTCTCCATCTTGTTTTTTATTTTAAGTGCCTATTTAGCCTAATTATAGCTTATATTTCTATTTGAGTGGATAATTAATAGAAGTGTTAATTATGAATTTATATAAAATAATAATAATTTTAAAAATTCATAAAAATTATCAAATTCAAAAATTTAGGAAGAAACGTTTTGCAAATATTGTTTTCCAAAATTTTTTTTGGAGAATTTATTTAAAAATTTATTTTTAATTAATATTTTCAAAATTAACCATTATGTTGAGGTGCCGAAATAAATGGAGTCGCCATCTATCCAAATGAGGTGGGATAGATTACCAAGACCTACGTAAAAATTGACTAGGTTTAGAGGGTCTGTTAAGTGTGAGGAAGATGTTAAGCACCCCACAAACTTCCATATAAATATGGTTACCACATACTTTAATTTTAGAGATTTTTCAATTTTATATCAAAATAATAATTTTTCAAACAAACATGCAAAAAAAAAAATCACTTAAAAAAAATTTGTCATTTACCTTTTGTGTTTCCGTTTCTACTTTTTTTTTTCTTTTTTTTTTAAATTTTTAATCAATAACAATTACCCAAAAAAAAATCACTTCAAAAACAAAAATAACAATAAACAAATAAGTACAGTCCTCCATC